CCACCACTCCCAGCCTAAACTCTTTATTTTTCCTTAGATCCATATTCTCATTTATGACCATCATGACCTATATTCCAAGCCAAAAACTAAAAGATTTGCATGTGTGTGCATGCATGTTGATTTGGGAGTATGTGGATGCACAGAAATTAATTCACATTTAGTTATGCACTTAATACATCATCTAAAATAAAAAGAATCTTGTGAAATAAGGGCTGTCTCAGAAAACTCAGGTCAAATATTCAAGGTACCATTAGGACAATAATCCCTCACTATGATTACCTTATACAAGCATATCGTAAAATGTAAAAACAGGTAATGTTATTTTATTATGTATTGTAATGTGTATCAAGAAATCAGTTAGTATGTATTCACCTTTGTTTGCAGATGGTAGCCTGTAGGAGTGTTTACATACATGGCTCACTCTCATCTAGACTACAGGTGTCTTCCTTATCTGCATGAATACTCACAGTGGCTGGCATGTAAAAAGTGCTCAACCTTGCTTATTAAGTCAATGCAGATCTCTGTCAATTTCTTTCGTCAGAGAGACAACACTCTCAAACTCTAGTGATGAGAATATTAGCAACAGGCAAAATAGCCTGGGCAACATAGCAATATACCATTACTACAAAAATATATAGTAAAAAAAAGTTAGTTGTGCATGGGGTCAGGCACCTGCAGTCTCAGCTACTTGGGAGCTGTAATCCCAACACTTAGGGAGGCTGAGGTGGGAGGATTGCTTGAGTCTGGCACATCCAGGCTCCAGTGAACCATGATCATGCCACTGCACTCCAGCCTCAGCCAACAGAGAGAAAGCTTGTCTCAAAAAAAAATAATAAAAACAGGCAAAACTTAATGTCTTTTGACAAAACTTTATTTCTTGCCACTGAGCTTAAAAGAAAAAACACTGTAGTATCAAATGGCATAAAAAGTTGAATACCCTTTGACTAAACAGTTCCACATAGGGATTTATGCTAAGGAAATACTGAACAAGAGAACAAAGATGTACATAAAATAGTATTTGCTGTAGCACTTCATAATAAAAAATGAGAAGTAATCTAGACATCCAGAAATAAGGTCATGCTGACATAAATTATAGTGTGTGACCTTATTCCTATAATTTAGTAGAAACTTACATAAAAAATACTTACATAAATTATGGTGTGTAATGCATTAAATATTATGCACTCATTTAAGGTCATGTTGTAGACCTGGCACGGTGGCTCATGCCTGTAATCCCAGCACTTTGAGATGCCGAGACAGGAGGATTGCTTGAGCCCAGGAGTTCGAGACCAGCCTGGGCAACTTAATGAGACCTCATCTCCACAAAAAAACAAATCAAAAAATTAGCCAGGCATGGTGGCATGCACCCATGGTCCCAGCTACTCAGGAGGCTGAGGCAGGAGGATCATTTGAACCTAGGAAGTCGAAGCTGCCGTGAGCCATGTCATGCCACCGCACTTCAGCCTGGGTGACAGAGCAAGACCCTGTCTCAAAAACAAAAATAAAAACAAACAATAAAGTCGTACTTTAACAGAAGATTTAACAACATGGAAAAATATTCAAGTGAGGGGAAAGGAATCAAATTTAAAATCAAAGTAAGAGCCCAATAATACTAATTTTGTTAAAGAGAAAGAAATGTGAAGTAAAAGACTAAAATGTTCAAAGTGTTCATGCTGGCTTTTAGAATAAAAGTAAATTTGTTTATGATTTTTGGAAAAAAATGTTCCCAACTTTTTCTTCAATGAAGACATCTTTTAAGAAGTATCATAAATGTGTTATCAAAGATATTAATTAAAATCAAAAGCAGAGGAAGAAGGAGAGAGAGAGAGAGAGAGAGAGAGAGAGAGAGAGAGAGAGAGACAGACTCCTCCCAGAAGGTCAAAGTTTCAAACAAAACATAGAGAAGTAAATGAAGTTTGGAATCCTTCCAGTTTTCCCCTTCCTCCTTTCCTCCTTCTATGAATGGTTATCCTTATCCTTAAGCATGGAAAGCGGATAATAAACAGTTTTTCTTACATCTTGCACATAGCCTTCATGGTCTTCATAGAAATCCTAATATATTTTAGACAATGAACTTCTCCAAATGTGGATCCCTAGGAAAGATGGTACTGGGTAAGGGAAAAAATTGGAAGGGTGAGCCGGGCAAGGGGGCTCACACCTGTAATCCCAGCACTTTCGGAAGCCGAAGCAATGGGATCACTTGAGGTCAGGAGTTCGAGACCAGCCTGGGCAACATGATGAAACCCCCCACCTCTACTAAAAATACAAAAATTAGTGGAGTGTGCTGACAGGCACCTGTAGTCCCAACTACTTGGGAGGCTGAGACAGGAGAATTGCTTGAACCCAGGAGGTGGAGGTTGCAGTGAGCCAAGATTACACCACTGCACTCCAGCCTGGGCAACATGGCAAGAATCTGTCTCAAAAAAAAAAAAAAAAAAAAAAAAAAAATTTGGAGGAGTGGAAATGCAAAGTTGATCTGATATAAAGCATATTCTCTCTTTCCGTGCACAATCCTGCCTTTCTCCTTCATATTGTGTGGGCTATCTCTCACATTTAAAAGCAAATTAAAATTTATGTTGTCCTCATAATTTTTTTAACCCAAAGCAAGTTTGTCACATGTGCCACCTCTCATAGAGTTATCACAGTTGCCAAAAGGAGCCATGAATGAGGGTGACTTTTTTGGGTTTCAGGCGGAGTCGTGGCATTAGCCATCGCCAGCTTCATGGCTGCAGTGAAATTTCACGACCTGACGGAACGCCTCGCCAACTTTCAGGAGCGGCTCTTCCAATTTGTGGTGGTGGAAGAACAGTACGAGGAGTCATTTTGGATCTGCGTGGCCAGCGCTTCGGCCCATGCCGCAAACTTGGTCGTGGTGGCGATCAGTCAAATTCCCCTCCCTGAGATTAAGACCAAAATGGAAGAGGCCACAGTCACAGCTGAGGATATCTTGTATTAATAGCCTTCCCCTGCTCACACCCTGTCTGAAGTCAGTTCTGCGTGTGAATGGAGGCCTCATGTTTTTGCAGCCTTCCCTCTCTGTCATGGCCACGTTCTCAGCAGTAAGAAGAAGGATGTGCTGGGGCCGGAAAAGAAAAACTTGCCCAGAATCCCCAGCGTCCTTGGATTCCTCTCTCATGACCTTGGAGTTCACGTTGCAGCTGGAGACTGCCACTTGCCAGCTGTGTATGGCATTGGACAACTCACTTAATGTCTATGCTCAGTTTCTGCATTTGTAAATGAAGCACGGTAACAACTTCGCAAGGCTGTTGTGAGGTTTAAATGGGTGATGATATTGCCAGCTTCTGCACCCTGCAGAGCACTTGACAAATATAAGAGACTACAGGCTTCTATAAGTGTCTGCAGAACCCTGGTCTATTCCACACAATAGTGGGCTGGTGAATGGGGAAGAATTCTAAGAGAAATATGATACTGTTCCTGTTCCTTCCCTCCAGAAACACCTCATCTTTCCACATGACCCAGGACTTAGCCACAATAACACTAAGAATGAAAATAACTGCCATTTGCTGAGTGGTGACTATATGCTAGACACTGTTCTAATTCATTTATTAACTCATTAGGTCCTTACGACAAACTCGGAAAGTAAGTACTATTTTAGCCTCATTTGCAAATGAAGAAACTAAGGCGTGGAGAGGTTGGGTAACTTGCTGAGATCGGGAATTTAACCTAGGAAGTCTGGAGCCAGGGTCTATACTTTTCACCTATGCTAATCTGTTGCTTGATACACAAGCAATTGCAATGCAATGTGATAAATGTCATAACATTATTAGGTTGGCGCAAAAGTAATTTCTGTTTTTGCCATTAAAATCATGGCAAATAACAGAACAGCCATAAGGGACTGAGGAGGGAATTAAATCTTGGGGATGGAATGTGGTTAAAGAGAGTCTCACAGCGTGAACATTTGATCTGAGCTTTGAAAGATGAGTAGACTTTTTCCAATGGTGAAGGAAGCAAGGTTGTAGAAGGGCATTCCAGGATGCATCCGTAAGTAGGCTGGGCAAGGGCGTGAAATTACCAGGAGGTCCAGGAACCAGGAGGGCTCATGCCTGTAATCCCAGCACTTTGGGATGCTGAGGTGGGTAGATCATGATACCAGGAGTTTGAGGCCAGCCTGACCAACATGGTGAAAACCTCGTCTTTACTAAAAATACGAAAATTAGCTGGGCATGTTGGCATGCATCTGTACTCCCAGCTACTCGGGAGACTGAGGCAGAAAAATTGCTTGAACCTGGGAGGTAGAGGTTGCAGTAAGCAAAGATCTGACCACTGCACTCCAGCCTGGGCAACAGAACAAGACTCCGTCTCAAAAAAAAAAAAAAAAAAGAACTACAAGGAGGGCTTAGAAGCATGTGGGTACTCAGGGTGTGGGTTCTCTAATCACCTGTTGGAGAAATCCAGCCGTTTTGTGTTTGCTTTTCGTAAGTGCCACCAGAATGGTTAATTTTATGTGTCACCTTGCCTGGACCACAGAACCGAGTTATTTGGTCAAACACTTCTAGATGTTTTTTCAAAGGTATTTTTGATGAGATTAACATCTAAGTTTGAGTAAAACAGATTACCACTACAATAGGACGGTAATTCCCTCATCCAATCAGTTGAAGGCTGTGATAGAAAAAAGGCCTAGCTCCCCTGAAGGAGAGGGAAGTCTACCAGCAGATTATTTTTGGATTCAAACTGCAACTGTCACTGGATATCCACCCTGCCCACCTACCCTGAAGATTCTGGTATTGCTGGCCTCCTGAATCATGTGAGACAATTCTTTAAAATAGCCCCTACTTTCTCTGTCACTCTATAAACACACACACACACACACACACACACACACACACACACACACACACAGAGCCTGTTGGCTCTGTTTCTCTGGAGAACCCTGACTAATAGGTACATAACTCTATCAACTCATTTTCCCATGCTGCTAGCTGGGATGAACCTTTTCCCAGGTTTCCTATCCTCCTGCCATGCAGAAGTTATCTAATGCAATCCTTTTATAGCTCATGAGCATGATGACTGGGTTTTCATGCATGTGTGTGAGATGTGCCACCCTGGAAACTTGTTATGACATTGGCACATTACCTGTCTGACCTGAAAAAAAAAAAAGAAAAAAAAGAAAATTTTTTTATTTTTAAGATGGAGCTTTGCTCTAGTTGCCCAGGCTGGAGTGCTATGGTGCTATCGTGGCTCACTGCAACCTCAGCCTCCCAGGTTTAAGCAGTTCTCCTCCTTCAGCCTCCCAAGTAGCTGGGATTATAGGTGTGCGCCATCACACTCAGCTAATTTTGTATTTTCAGTGGAGATGGAGTTTTCACCATGTTGGCCAGGCTGGTCTCGAACTCCTGACCTCAAGTTATCCCCCTGCCTCGGCTTCCCAAAGTGCTGGGATTACAGGTGTGAGTCACCACAGCCAGCCTAGGAAATTTTTTTTAAGTTATCTAATCCCCCAAATCAGCTCCATCTAAAATGACACCTGATTTGTTGACTTCAAGAAGTGCTCATACATTTCTCTCTTCTAAATGCTTGTAATTCCTGCTGGGCTCACCTGCCCCTTTCAGCCCTCTTTCCACATCCCAGGCATGGCTGTGGCACTATTTAGTGGACTGATGTCACTCACCAAAGATGCAGATGGCACATGGCTAGAAGAGACAGTTATGTGATAGGAGATGGATCCAAACGATAGTGACAGATGGCCAAGCTGTCTTGAAAACCAGAGGAAATGTCAATATCATATCAAGTTTCAACACAAAGTCTTGCCGATGGGTTTTTAAAAAATCAACATAAATACAGAAAATCTGACGATAGATTATATCACAAGTGTCTGAGGATCTTGGTACATTTATTCATTCAACAGTATCAATACTGATCTAGGTGCTGGGACTAAAGCAGTGAACTGACAAAAATCCCTGCCCTCCAGACATTTCATACTCCCAGTAGCTGGGATGATTCATACTGAATGGGCTTGTGATGGAACTATGCAAAAAGTTAGCACAGTAGCCAGACGTGGTGGCTCATGCCAGTAATCCCAGCAGTTTGGGAGGCCAAGAGGGGAAGACTGCTTGAGTCCAGGAGTTCAAGACCAGCCTGGACAACATAACATAGCTAGACCCTGTCTCTCTATTTAAAAAAAAAAAAGTCATCAGGGCCATAGCCTTTGAACTGATGACTGCCTTCAGGCATATGCAGACCTTCGTGACAAGAAGGGGCAGAGTGAATTCAGTTTTGCTTCTAAAGATTAGGATTGACTTTAATTATGACGGATGTGTTTCAAGAAGTCAAAGTGCAGGCTTTTGTACACATGTGCAGTTTTTCTGTGACAGAGTCCATAGCTTTTAAAGCATTTCGGAAGCATCTACAATATCTTTAAACCATGATCCATCAGGTGACAACCATATGTTACCGGCAATAATCAGGCTTAGTCTGAAAGACTATCTCTCAAGAATACTGTAAATGAGATTCCTATATAGAATTTAGCAGGGTGAGAGTAGGGATGGAAAGAAGGGAGATTCAATATCTGGATCACAAAATTCACTTGCATTATTTTTCAAATCTAGCTCCTTTGTCTGGACTATAATTAATTTGGTCATTTTATGAGTAAAGAAATAGTAGCTGCAGGAAGGGGGCTGGTCATGGGAAAAGACCAAGGCAGGATTAGAGGGTTGGGACTTCCAGCCCCACCCACACCCATGACTTCTGGGAGGAAAGAGGCGCTGAAGGTTAAGTTGATCACCAGTGGCCAATGGTTTAATCAATCATGCCTACGTTATGAAACCGCAGCAGAAACCCCAAAAGAACTGGGTTTGGAGAGCTTCCAGATGGCTGAATATGGGGAGGTTCCCGGAGGGTGGTGCACCCAGGGAGAGCATGCAAGCTCCGCGCTCCTTCTCCCATACCTTGCTCCAAGCATCTCTAATCTGTATCCTTTGTGATATTCTTTGTAATACACCAGGAAAGAGAAGTGTTTCCCTGAGTTCTGTGAGCTGCCCCAGCAAATTAGCCAAACCCAAAGATGGAATTGTAGGTTTGGCTCATTTGAAGCCAATCAGACAGAAGTTCCAGAAGCCCAGACTTTCAACTAGTGTCTGAAGGAGGAGGGACAGCTTTGGAGACAGCCCTCAGCCTGTGGGACCTGATGCTGTCTCCAGGTGAATAGTGTCAGAACTGAATTAGAGCACACCCAGCTGGTGTCTGCTGCAGAACTGATTGCTTATTTGCTGATGGAGGAAAATTCCTCACATTTGGTCACAGAAGTCTTCTGTATTAATTGTTGTTGAGAGTAGTTTGAGAGCTGAGAAAAACAGTTTGAGTTCTTTCTTCTCAGAGGTCACCATCTTGTGTGGACCAGGCATTGTACACCTTCTTCATTCTGACAATTAGTCAAGATAAACATTATTATCTTTTTTTTTTTTTTAGCAGATTTGGAGAGTTTAAGGAACTTGCTCAGCCACATTGCTAATAAGTAATGGAGAAAGACTTCAACCCTAATTTGTATGATGTCGAGGCTACCACTTTTCCTCTACGTCAAGATTATTGCCTTGAATCACTCTTGAGGCTTCTTCTCAGGGTTTCTCCAGGTGGGTGTGCAGATAGCACCCTGCCCAAGAGAGGTGCAAGCATAGAGAGTGAGGGGCTAGCCAATGCACCCCTGGCTTGTCCTGGCCTCATCCACAAAGGGTGCTTTCTCCTAAAGGGAGTGCCTTTTCCTAAGGCTCACAAAGGTGTGCCCTATCCCTTCCAGCTGACTGGTCCAGGCAAAGTCAAAATATTAGTCATAACATTATTTTATTACATTGATTTGAGTGTAATGATTAATTTTCATATGCCCTTTAAAAATAATTATCATATGCATACGATTGTATGTTTGCTAATGATATGACATTACAAATACTAAGTGCAGGGACCAAAGCCAATAAAATTTGGCTGCAATTAAGATAAGTAATTTGTTATCAGTGAAAATAAATTCTACTTTATGTTCACAGTGTAAAAAATAAGTAATTGCCAAGCATGTTGGCTCAAGCCTGTAATCTCAGCATTTTAGGAGGCAGAGGTAGGTGGATCACCTGAGGTCAGGAGTTCGAGACCAGCCTGGCCAACATGGTGAAACCCTGTCTTACTAAAAGTATAAAAAATTAGCCAGGCATAGTGGTGTGCACCTGTAGTCCCAGCTACTCAAGAGGCTGAGTCAGGAGAATCACTTGAACCTGAGAGGCAGAGGTTGCAGTGAGTCGAGATGGCACCATTGCACTCCAGCCTGGGTGACGAGCAAAGCTCCATCCCCTCTAAAAAATATATGAGTAAACACATGGTTTTCATTAATGAAAATATAGCTAATAGCATATACAATTAATCAAGACTTTTGGATAGCAAGGATCCTTCCATGTCAAATCAGAACAGAGTTATGTTACAAATATACTTCTCTCTCTGTCAAGAAAAATGTGAAACTATGAAGAGTAAACTCCTCACACTTCCAAAAGCATATAATAAAAATGCTAACTCCTTTAATTTAAAAAATCCTATTTTCTATATCATAAATAAGGTCACTGCAAAGAGGTTGATGGTTAATGAGAACTAATGCATGCTTTAGCAAAAATGTGCAACACAATCCAAAAAGACAATTGTATTGTTTTCCCAGGGTTCCTGAAACAAATTACCACGAACTTAGTGGTTCAAAACAACACACATTTATTATCTTAAGAATTTTAGAGGTCAGAAAACCAAAATGGGTCTCACTGGGTGCTATGGTTTTGATATGTTATTCAAAATTCATATGTTAGACACAGTCTCTAATACAAAAGTGCTTAGAGATGATATCTTTAAAAGGTGATTAGGCCATGAGGGCTCTGCCCTGGTGAATGGATTAATCCACTCTCTCACCATGTAATGCCTTCTATGGTGTTATGATGCGGCAAGAAGGCCCTCTTCAGATGCCGGCATCTTGATACGGACTCCCCTGCCTTCAGATCTGTGAAAAATAAATTTTTTTTGTCTTACAAATTACTCAGTTTGTGGTATTCAACACAAAATGAACTAAGACACTGGGGTAAGTCAAGGTGTTGACAGAAGTCAGGCCCAATGGCTCATGCCTGAAATTTCAGCACTTTGGGAAGCCAAGGTAAGAGGATTGATGGAGGCAAGCCTGAGCAACATGATGGTGACCCCCATCTCTACTAAAAATTTAAAAATTAGCCTGTCATAGTGGCATGCACCTATGATCCTAGTTGCTCATGAGGCTAAGGCAGAAGGATCGCTTGAGCTCAGGAGTTCAGTGTTACGGTGAGTTATGATCATGCCACTCCACTCCAGCCTGGGTAACAGAATGAGACCCTATCTCAAAAAAAAAAAAAAAAAAGAAAGAAAGAAAGAAAGAAAGAAAGAAAAGAAAAGGTGTTGTTGGCAGGGTTGTGTTCCTTCTGGAAGCTCTATGGCGGAATTTGTTTCTTTCCCTTTTTTAGCTTCTGGAGGCCACCTGCATTTGCTGAGTCTTGGTCCCTTCCAGCAATTATATGTTTCCAGCCTCTGTACCCATCATACAAGTGACGATGGCTCTGCTCCTTTGCTTCTCTCTTAAAAGAACCCTTGTGATTACACCTGGTGCACCCAGATACTCCAGGACACTTTTGGGGAACAGATTTCCACCTACCACAACAATGTCACTCAATGCCAGTATTTCTTGTTCTAACAATATTCCTGAAAAGAACATAATGTTTAGATATAAAACTCATGAACAAAAAAGTCTTATTCATTAATTATTACTAGTAGATTAGCATCACAATTTAGAAAATACTTGCTGGGAATGAGGTGCTAACCTACTTCAAATACTTAAATATTAAGCCAGGTTTATCACTGGAAGTCATAGAGGGAAGAAGGCCACACAGGGCACAGGGAATCTCAAAGGTGAAATATGAAAAGTGATTTCAGTATGTGATACTGGAGAGGGACACAGCAACTCAGAGAAGTGCCTGAGCCCATTTTATTTATTTATTTATTTACTTTCTTACTTATTTATTTATTTTGAGATGGAATCTCACTCTATCACCCAAGCTGAGTGCAGTGGCACAATCTTGGTTCACTGCAACCTCCCTCTCCCGGGTT